TGGTCACTGAAATTTTCAACAAATTCATATTAAAACCAAAGAGAAAAGTAAATGGGGCCAAGTGAGTGCTATGGAAGACCTTTCTCTCTGTCTCTCCCTCTCACTGTCTATACCTCGACCTCTCAAATAAATAATTTCTTTCTTACAAAAGTGATCTGAATGTCTTATTGCTCCTGAACACCGTCACCCCTACAACTTTTGGAACCTCTGCTCTGTATAGCTCATAGATAAGTATGCATGGAATCTGTAAAATGTCCCCATTTTGTGGGAAAGACAACCAAGGCACAGATACTGCAGAGTTCTGACGAGGTTGGCAGCACCCAAGAGAAGGCCCTGCACAACTTCCAGCAAGAGCAAACTCCCAACCAACATCCAGCAATGCAGCCAGGCAAAGAGGCTCAGGAGACTCAGCAGTCCAAGGCACAGGGAATCACTGAGATTCAAATCAACGAAAACTCTGGTATACTGGGAAAGGAAATGAGAGTGGAAAGATCCAGGCCAACATTGGAGAAGCAGAGAATTAAAAAAGTGGAACTTTGGATCTTTTTTCTTCTCTCTCTGGATGGTGGAGGCAGACTTAGGATGGCCAGTGCTGGCTGGGACACAAGAAGCATTTGTTTTGTATTCTCTGGGAGGAGAAGATACTTGTGAATGAAATTTTCTGGGTCACTGCCCAGAGCACTTACTCACTACACACAGATCAAGGATTCCCTTGTCACCAGAATCCCCTATGCCCCCACCAGCCTCTGCCTACAGGTGACACTTGATGAATTCCCATTTGGTCCCTGTACACCTCCAGTAGCATTAGACTGGGCACTGAGGAATGACGAGAACACCATTCCAGGCATAGGAGGGGATTGAGGCTGAGAGACTGGGTATAGGAGACAGACATCATTTTTAAAGATTTTTAATTGACACATGATAATTGTCCATATTTATCAGGTCTGGTGTGAGGTTTCAATACATGAAGACCAAATGTAATGCTCAGAACAGAGTAATAGGCATTATCTATCACCTCAGACCTTTATCAATTTGTTATTGTGATTAAAACATTCAGAATTCTCTCTTAATAGCTACTTTGGAATACACAATAAATTATTATTGTTAACTGCCGTTACCCTGTTGTGCTATAAAATGCTAGAAACCAATTCTTCTATATAACTATTTTTGTACCCATCAAGCTGGTGTACATAGTTTTTTCTCTCCATTCCCAGGATCTGGTAACCATTCTCTCTGCTTCTGTGAAATCAACATTTTAGCTTTTAGATATGAGACAGAACATGTGGTATTTGTCCTTCTATGGCTGGTTTATTTCACTTAGCATGCCCTGCAGTTCCATCCATGCTACAAGTGACTGGATTTTTTTAAGATTTATTTTATTTATTTGAAAGGCAGAGTTATAGAAAGAGAGAGGAGAATAGCGCATGCAAGAGAGAGCAAGAGAGAGACAGAGAGAGATCTTCCATCTGCTTGGTTTACTCCCTAAATGGCTGCAATAGTCAGAGCTGGGCCAGGCCAAAGTCAGGAGCCTGGAACTCCACCTGAGTCTCTCAAGTGAATATCAGGGATCCAAGCATTTGGTCCATCTTCTGATGTTTTCACAAACACATTCACAGGGATCTGGATCAAAAGTTGAGCAGTCAGGACTGGAACTGGAGCTCATATGGATGCCAGAGTTGTGGGCAGTGGCTTAACCAACTGAACAACAACAGCAGCCCCCAGAATTCCATTTGTTTTTCTGACTAAATAGGATTCCGTTGTATATAATATTCATCTGTTCATGGGTCAATGGACACCTAGGAAACTTCTCTATCTTAGCCATTGTGAATAATGCTGTGATAACAATGAGATCACAAGTATCTACAGAAGAGGGACAGTATTCACTGCACAAGGCATTCTCAAGGGGAAGGTGCTCAGCAGAGTGGCTTCACCTGGGGCTTTGGCATTTGGGGTAGGTGAAGATGGGTCATGGACCAGCTCTTAAGAGTGAGGGAAAAAATGCCACCAAGAAGACGCTGGCCAGGATGGAGCTGGGAGAGCAGCAGTCCAGCACAAGGTGCCTGCCAAATTAAGCCAGCCTATAGGCATCAGAGTGGGGAAAGGAGTTAGGGGAATTACTATCAATCAGGTCCTCATTATGCCAGGCAGGTGCCATGGTCTCCCTTTCATAATAGCTACCTTTGAATGAGCATCCATTGAGTCTCAGGTACTTTCTGTCCATGAACTCACTTACTTCACAGTGATTACTCTGTGATTACTCTGTGAGTTGGTCATTAAAATCTCCACTGTTAAATTAGGCAAAAGGAACTCAGAAAAGTTAAGTGGCTTGTCTGAAGTTACACAGCTGGTGCAGACCCAAAATTTGAGTCCAGTTCTGATCACTTTAAAGTTAGTGTTTGCTATGTTAGTCAGTCAGTCATTCCTCAGTGCCAACACTCCCCCAGATCTTGGGCACAAGAGATTCCATAGGAAAAAAGGACGTCCTGACTGTTAGTCATGATAGGACAGCATAAATTCTGTAACAGGTACCATCCAAATCTCAGGGGTTTAAGGTAATCAATAAATCTAATCAGTGTCACAGTCTGGTGCTGCTTGGAAAGGGTGGGGGTGGGTTTGGTTGATGGACTACTTGTGCAGTCATTCTGGCGTCCAAGTTCATTTCATGGTGTTTCTTGTCCATCTTTTTACATCCTTAGAATCTCTTATTGAGTCCTCTGTAATCTGCCAACAGATAAGGGAAAAGGGAATATAAAGGCAGACATTTGGCACAGCAATTAAGCTGCCCCTTGGCACACCCTCATCCAATTCCAGAGGGCCTGGTTCAAGTCCCAGGACTTCACCTCCAATTCAGATTCCCTCTAATGCACACTCTAGAAGGTAGCAAGTGATGACATTAAGTCCTTGGGGCTCTGACCCCCCATGTGGGGGTTTCAGTCTCCCAACTTTGGCCTGGCCAACCCTGGTATTTGAGAGTGAAGCAGCAGATGGAAGATTCTCTCTCTCTCTCTCTCTCTCTCTCTCTCTCTCTCTCTCTCAAATAAATACATACATACAACTCCAGAGTATAGGGTGTGGGCCCATCTGTTCAACTTCCAAAGGGCCTGGGGAATTGGCTTCAGTGGTGAGCCCTATGAGAAGAGGAAATGGATTCAATGAACATCTGTGCTGTCCCCAGAGTATCAGCTCTGCTGATTTCTTGCTTGCAATCTTGGATGGGGTACTTAACCACTCTATGCCTTCACTTCTTCATCTATAGCATTAAGGTAACGATATCATCTATGTTATGTGACAAGATTAAGCAAGGATTAATACACGTGAACCATTTAAAACAGAGGCTAGCACACAGTGAGCGCTGGATAAATGACATCAAGCTGTACTCGCGCCATCTTTTAGAGACCATAATGCATGTTAGAGTAGAAGTCCTCAGAAGTCTCAAAAGAGAGAGACTGTTTTTTTTTTTATTAAATGTTGGTTAACCCAGGATTTCCCAAACATGTTTGTCCTGCAAAATGGTCTCTCTTTTTTTTTTTTTTTTTTGTATGACACCTTTCAAGCATCCAGTGAAACTGGTATTTAATCTTTCTGACAAGTACATTTCTTTGGCTCCATTGGAAAGATAGGTGGGTTCCGGGGAAGTTTAGTAAACCAAGGTCTGAAAAGTATTGATTCTAGAGAGCATTAAAATTCATCCTCTACTTGTTAAATGCTTATGAAGCATGTGCAGACATACACTGTTAGCTCACTTGGTTATTACTATTCTTATTATTGTGCCTTAGCATAGGCACTGTGTATATTACATATATACATATATTCTATATATATGCTATGCATATGAATATATATATTCATAGAGATAACAAAAAGGGAGCCTAAGCAAGATAAAACCAGTGCCTTAGTCACAGAGCTGGTAATTGCTAGAGCTGATATCCAAGCCCAGATGTATCTGAACTTGAGAGTCTATGGATTTTTAAAGAACTGGTACTGCAGCCAGGCTCTAAAAACATAGATCTCCAGTGGCCTTTAAAGAAAGCTGGACCTCAGCACTAACAAAACACTACAATAGCCTGCTGCTTTTTGTCAGCCTTCTTGGGGAAGGATAATAGATTTGTGGTTACCAATGAGCTCTTTGACATTGAGATGTAGGAGAATTTAGAGCATTGTGATTTAGGAATTTTGAGGGGGATGTCAGAGGGTTCAGGGTCTGAATTACAGATAAAAGAACATATAGCCTACCAACCTAAAGTTATCACAATGACCCTGTTTGAGCTATATTTGTTCCTCTTTCTTTTTTCCACTCTGCAATATACTCAAGAAACTTTAGAAAATAGAAATGGATCAATTTAAAGTTTTATTTCTGAAAAAAATTTGCTCTTTGTAATGTGCAGGACCATTCTCCTTTGATGGGAGACACAGATACTTACCTGAATCTAGGTTGAAAACATAATGTAAAAAGGAATTATGATAATAGATACTTTGCAATTAAAAAAAAAACTGGTGCTGGACAACTATTTTTGCTATATTCTTCAGATCCAAATAGGATGTTCATTTCTTTCAGATATTGTTATTAGAAGTTATTCTTTGTAACACTTTACTGCATTATATCAGACATGTATATACTTGAATGGAAGAGTGAGGGAGTGAGAGATCTCACATCTGCTGGTTCACTCTCCCAGATTCCAACACATCACCAATGATCAGTCAAGTCCCACTGACCTTGGAAAGCAACCCAAGTGCGCATGCGCACTGAACACTCCTGGCCACCAGGCTTCTGTGCACATGTGTAACCCACAGAGCTCGAGAGCCAGGCGTGCCTGTGCAGTTGTGTATTCAGGCGTTGCTTGGCAACAGGTACTGTGAGCTCAGAGAAGTGCCCGAGGCCCTGGCTTGTGGCTCCAAACAGCTGCCACAGGTGCCTCAGGCCTGGGAGTCTGTGAGAGGTGGCCGCCAGTCTCGGCCCGGAAGAAGGCTTGCTGCTTCCCATATCAGAAGGGGGATCAGGGCCGGCGCCGCGGCTCAATAGGCTAATCCTCCGCCTAGCGGCGCCGGCACACCGGGTTCTAGTCCCGGTCGGGGCGCCGGATTCTGTCCCGGTTGCCCCTCTTCCAGGCCAGCCCTCTGCTGTGGCCAGGGAGTGCAGTGGAGGATGGCCCAGGTGCTTGGGCCCTGCACCCCATGGGAGACCAGGAAAAGCACCTGGCTCCTGGCTCCTGCCATCGGATCAGCGCGGTGCGCCGGCCGCAGCGCGCCGGCCGCGGCGGCCATTGGAGGGTGAACCAACGGCAAAGGAAGACCTTTCTCTCTGTCTCTCTCTCTCACTGTCCACTCTGCCTGTCAAAAAAAAAAAAAAAAAAAAAAAAAAAGAAGGGGGATCAGGTGTGAAAACGGTGGATCTGATGAAATCCCAGTCCGGGATCTGTCAGCGCGGGTGGAGTGGCCCAAGACCACCTTAGGTACGGACTACCTGACTGACCTCCTCCTTGAATACTTCATTTATTGTCACAGCTTTTTGATGGGCTGTGGAGCTGTTTCTGAGGGTCTAATCATGTGATCTGCAGATATGGACTTTTGGTTTTCCTCCTGTGAAATTTGATGCCTTGTTTTCCTTTTTTTCTTTCTTTTTTTTTTTTCATCCCACTCCCTGTGAGTGAGAGCCCTGCTTGTGCAGACCCTGTCAGAGTGACAAGCCTGGTTTGTCGGGGACCTCTGGTTGTGGCAGTTTTGCTTTTTCCCGCCCCTCCAGTTGTGACAGTCTTGCTTTTTCTGTGCACCCTGGGCTTGATAGCCCTTCTTTGTCCTGACCCCGGGACTGACAGCTTTGTTTTGTGCCACCCCTCAGTGGGTGATAGCCCTGCTTTGTACCACCCCCTGGGACTGACACACATGCTTTGCCCCTCCCCTCTGGGTGTGACAGCCCTGCTTTTTTGGAACCCAGAAGTGACAGCCTTGCTTTGTCCCGGCCCCCTGGCTGTGGCAGTCTTGCTTTGTCCTGCCCCTCTGGGCATGGCAACCTGCTTTGGCCCTCTGGCTGTGGCAGTCTTGCTTTGTCCTGCCCCTCTGGGCATGGCAACCTGCTTTGTACCACCTCTCAGGGAGTCACAGCCCTGCTTTGTACTGCCCCCTGGGACTCACAGCCCTGTTTTGCCCTGCTCCTCTGGGGGTGATAGCCCTGCTTTGTCCAGCCCCTGTCAGAGGGACAGACCTGGTTTGTCCAGGCCCTCTGGCTGTGGCAGTCTTGCTTTTTCCCGCCCCTCTGGGCATGGCAGCCTGCTTTGTACCACCCCTCAGGGAGTGACACCCCTGCTTTGCTGCACCCCTCTGGGTGTGACAGCCCTGCTTTGTTCCAACCCCAGTAGTGACAGCCCTGCTCTGTCCAGCCCCTGTCAGAGGGACAGACCTGGTTTGTGCAGGCCCTCTGGCTGTGGCAGTCTTGCTTTGTCCCGCCTCTCTGGGCATGGCATCCCTGCTTTGTCCTGCCCCCTGGGACTGACAGCCTTGCTTTGTACTGCCCTGTGGAACTGACAGCCCTCTTTGTCCTGACCCCTGGGAATGACAGCGCTGCTTTATCTCCTCCCTTTGGGAGTGAGAGCCCTGCTTCCTCCTGGCCCTCTCTAGGAGTGATAGCCTGCTTTGTACCACCCCCTGGGAGTTACAGCCCTGCTTTGTCCTGCCACCTGGCAGTGACAGCCCTGCTTTGTCCTGCTCCCTGATGGTGACAACCCTGCTTTGTCCTGGCCCTAGGCCTGTGGCAGTCTTGCTTTGTCCTGCCCCTCTGGGCATGGGAGCCCTGCTTTTTCCCAACCCCTGGGATTGACTGTGCTGCTTTGTTCTTCCCCTCTGGGAGTGACAGCCCTTCTTTGTCCTAGCCCCCCTCCCGAGAGTGACAGCCCCATGTCTGACTCCTGCTGGCTTTCTCTTTTTCGAACTGCTCTTGATATGGCTTCCAAGACTCCATGAAATAAGAGCAGTCGGAGTTGATATCTTTGGTTCCAGGTCTGAGGGGAACTGACAGATGGCTTTGCTCTTCTAGTTTTCCTCCATCTGGTCCTCCACTTGCATAATGGGTACAATCAAGTTTTCATCCTTCTGGCTTCTCTTTGGATTGTGACTGTGACTTGATAGTCCCAGGGAGTGTTGCTTTCATGAGTGAGTGGGTAAATGAGTGAATCAACACAATGCTTCCTGAAGTCATATTGTTTCCCTGTAATGGGAACGAGTGGCCAAACCAGTCATTGGAAAATGTTGATATTCATGAAAATTTTCTGTGAGAAAAGAAAATAATGACAAATTGACTTTAGTTGATTAAACCAGAAAAAATAATCTGCGTGCAATTCATTATATATCAGCTTTTTGATGGGCTGTGGAGGTGTTTCTGAGGGTCTAATCATGTCATGTGCAGATATGAACTTTGGTTTTTCTTTTTATCCCACACCCTGTGTCTGAGAGCCCTGCTTTGTCCATCCCCTCTCAGAGTGACAGATTTTGTTTGTCTGGGCCCTCTGGCTGTGACAGTTTTGCTTATTCCCACACCGTGGGATTGACAGCCCCACTTTATCCTGCTCCTGTGGGAGTGACAGCCCTGCTTTATACAGCCCCCTGGGACTGACAGCCCTGCTTTATACAGCCCCCTGGGACTGACAGCCCTGATTTGTCCCGACCCTCAGGGGGTGACAGCCCTGCTTTGTACTGCCCCCTGGGACTCACAGCCTTGCTGTATCCTGCCCTTTTTGGTTTGAGAGCCCTGCTTCCCTGGCCCCCTGTGATGATAGGCCTGCTTTGTCCCCCCCTCTCAGAGTGTCTGCCCTGCTTTTTCCCAGCCCTTTGGCTGTGGCAGTCTTGTTTTGTTCCACCCCTGTGGGCATGACAGCCCTGCTTTGTACCACACCTCTGGTTGTGGCAGTCCTCCTTTGTCCTGCCCCTGGACATGGCAGCCCTGCTTCAGCGTCCTGACACTTTTTACTAGCTTAGTTCTTCTGGACTGCAAGGACCAGTTTCACAAACATCACCAATGCTTAGTCAAGTTCTGTTGACCTTGGAAAGCAACCCAAGTGTTCAGATTCACCCTGTTCATGTGCACTGAGCACTCCTGGCCACCAGGCTTCTGTGCACATGCGCAGCCCACAGAGCTCGTGAGCCAGCATGCCTGTGCAGTTGTGTGTTCAGACATTGCTTGGCAACAGTTACTGGGAGCTCAGAGATGTGTCCTGACATTTATTGACTACCCACAATGTTTTCATAGGAATTTTCAACATGAGAGATTTATTTGGAAAATAAGAATTGATAACCCAAAAAATAATACTTTATTATTTCTACCAGCAGCAGGACACATTCTCAATTAGCTACAATCCTTGAATCTGTTTTCCTCCTTTGAAACTCAAGGCCATCTACTACTGCCAACAATACATACACACAAAGGAAGAAGATAGAGAACACTTCATGCCCCACTTTCTACCTGACAGCACCAAGTAGCCACAACTCATGTTGTGTGAGACTGCAAAAGAATACTCCAGATTACAGCAGAGAGGGGAAAAGCATTCTCAATTTTAACATTGCACAGATCCATATGGTAGAAGTTACAGATAATAGATTCAACTCCAAAGAATTCAAGGGAACCTTGGGATTTCAAATGTGAATCTTAAATAGATGCTGAGTGAGAAAGATGTCTTCACAGTTGGTTAATGAAAAATATTCCACTGTGAAGGATTAACTGCTGTGTCTGAGAATGCAAGAGCACACAGGACATGAAGGAACCGAACTCTGTTGAAAAAGACAATGAATTCAGAGCCTAGAATGAAAGTTGATCCAGAGTCACACAAGCTTAATGTTTACCCTTCTTCTCACTGAGGAAGAATTTAATGTCAACCCTACTGCATGGCATATTTTATGTGTTGAATGTAGATATCTCCATGGTTAAGTAGAGTAGAAAGTATGTGTAAAACATTTGTCATGAAGTGTGAATTCATTCCTTCTCTATAACTTGAATAGTAAAAACATTCTGTGTCAATATACAATGGGAGTATGGGAGAAATAATTTTAGTCTGGACTGGAGGACTAGAGAAGTCCCTTATTGAGAATATCTGGTACACCAATGTTCCCTATTACCACTTTCACAAGGTGACATAAGGACAGGTAGAATCATACTTCCTCCATTTGATGGAGGGAAAACTGAATCACAAGATGACACAACCTGGAAGAGCTAATCTTGCAGTGGAAAGACTCCAAGGTCTCTCCATTCAATGGTTCATTCACCCCCTTCTATTCTTTTTGAAGTTGTATTGATTTATTTGAAAGGCAGAGTGACAGAGAGGCAGAGGCAGAGAGAGAGAGGTCTTCCATCCACTGGTTCACTCTCCAAATGGCCACAATGGCAGGAACTGGGCTGATCCAAAGCCAGGAGCCAGGAGTTCTTCCAGGTCTCCTCTGCAGGAGCAGGAGCCCAAGGACTTGGTTCATTGTCCCGTCCCGCGGGACAGCAACTGGGGCCGAGCACCTAGAAGGAGAAATGAAAGGGACAGGAGACACAAAGATGGCAGCAAGACAGGTGCCGATCAAGCTGCGACTTTATTTTTCAACCACACACTTATATATCATCGAGGCAGGGTATCGGGAGGGGGAAGGAGGGGGGGCTTATCTTGTAGCTGCAAGGCTAGTGCAAGTAGGGGAAAGGTTACAAGGCCTTAAGGCACAAGGTCACACAAGGTTGCGTTATCAGTACTATCTGGTCTGGCCTGTCTAGCCCTGTCTCTCCACTAAGAGGTCACATGCTGCGTGGTCCCCGACAGTTCATCTTTCACTGCTTTCCCAGGCTATAGCAGAGAGCTGGATCAGAAGTGGAGCAGCTGGAACTTGAACCAGCACCCATATGGGATGCCAGCAATGCAGTTGGTGACTGTACCCACTACTCCACAGCGCCAGCCCTTAACTCTCTTCTTAAAATGGGTCTAGTAGGTCCTAACAGCAAGGAAACTGATCTTTCTCCAAGCAGCCTTACATCCTTATAAAATTTTCTGGCAAAGGCAAGCAAGTGAAATTTATTATATAGTGGATGATATATTTGGAATAGTGATGAAATGTTTCTATAACTCATGATCTTTTGTTACTATAAAATAAGGTTTATTCATTTTTCAAAGATTTATTTTATTTATTTGAAAGATTTACAGAGAGAGGAAGAGACAGACAGGGAGGTCTTTTTTTAACTTTTAATTAGTAAATATACATTTCCAAAGTACAGTTTATGGATTACAATGGCTTCCCCCTCCAACATTCCTCCCACTCACAACCCCCCCAGCTCCCGCTCCCTCTCCCATTCCATTCACATCAAGATTCATTTTAAATTATCTTATATAGAGAAGATCAATTTAATATATATTAAGTCAAGATTTCATCAGTTTGCACCCACACAGAACACAATGTGTAAAATACTGTTTCAGTACTAGTTATAGCATGAATTCAC